GCACCTGAAGCCATGTGTGCTTGTGTGTTTGTGTGTTTGCATGGTGCTATGCAAACATGTGCCCGAAGCTTGCTTTGAGGAAGGCGTCGAAGCAGCGGGAGTTGAGGGCGTGTGGCAGAGCGAGGAACAGCTTGTTGCGTCGCTCCTCCCACCGCCCGCCCATGGCGGCGAGGAGGTGAGTGAATGCAGTCACGCGGCGACAGGCGTGGAAGCGGGCCTGCCTGTGCGTGCTGTAGTCCTCGAGTGCTCGCGCAACGGCAGTAGGTGATGATGGCACATTCGACAGAACGTGGGCCACATACAGTGCATCCTGTGTGTGTGTGTGTGTGTGTGTGTGTGTGTGTGTGTGTGTGTGTGTGTGTGTGTGTGTGTGTGTGTGTGTGTGTGTGTGTGTGTGTGTTTATGGGGGGGGGCGCATTGGCAGTTGTAAGCACTCGTCAACACATGCGCACGCACAACATATGTAAACAAACACACAGCACATGCACGCACCCATACGTACACACAGCATGCCATGCACTCACAGCGATTCGCACACATGCACATACGCACACATGCACACCTCGATGGCAAGGGAGGCGCCTTGGGCGAGGTTGTGCTGCATGCAATGGGCAGCGTCGCCGATGTAGGCAACAACTCCGTCTGCAGAACGCTTTAGTTTGGACACGCGCGCACGCTCGTACAGCGGCTGCACGTGTGCATCACGTGCACAGGCAATTAGCTCTGGGATGGGATCGTGCCACGTGCTGTAGAGGCGGGCGACATCGTCAATGGTGTGCAGTGTGTCGCTTGTGGAACACGTGGCGAAAATGAAGCAGCGAGAGCTGTTCAAGGGCACACCGGCGAAGCGACGGCCGCCACTCAAGGTTTCGAAAGGAGCTGACGCGCGCAGCTGCATGGGCACAATGAACGAGAGTGAGTGCACGGGGACAGGCGCGGTATCCGGCGCCATTCCACTCATGAGCACGGCATCAAAGCAGCCCAGCTCAGCACCAGTTGCAGCATCCAGCACCTTCGTGGGGCCATCTGCGACATGAACGCACGCACAGGGAGAAGGGAGCGGAGGAGACGGTGATGATGGTGGTGGTGGTGATGGTGGGATGGAAAAGATACAAGACACTCAACTCGAGGGAGCCAACAGCCACACACACACACACACACACACACACACACACACATGTACGTACACGCACACACAGACGCTCACACGCACGCAGACACAAACACATACACACAGACAGACACACACACATACAACAGTAGGGCGCACCAGTGTTTGAGATGCGGGCGACTTGGACGTTGCAGTGGATAGCAGACTGGTCTGTGTCCTGTAACAAGGCGTGGAGCAAGGTGTGGCGTGTTGTGACCTTGACCTCGTAGTCTCGTGCAGTGTCCTTGCTCGGTGCGGAGAGCCACGCGCCATCTCGCGTTCGGTACGACGCAGGAGGCACTGACGGCCACTGCGAAACTTGTTCCTGCAAGCCGCTGCCGTTATCGGCGATGAGCTGCTTCCACGCGGTGGGCCAGATGCCAAGACCGCGGTCCACCCCTTCCATAACGCTGCTCCTCGCTTCAAACAAGGTCGCCTGGACGCCGCGGCGCTGCAGGCTGCGCAGAGCAGTGACGCCCGCAATCCCGCCACCAACAATGCCCACTCGCATCGTGACACGTGGTGTTTTGTTGGTGTGTCGTTTATGGTTGTGTCACATCTCACATCTCACCTCATCATTCAAGAAGCAAGACGAGTGTGACCAAGCGATCAGCGCATGCATGTATGATGGGACAAGAAGCGCATTGTGCGCATGATTCATGTCAGTCATCGGATGGCATCAAGGCATCCAGTACATCGTCGATGTCTTCCTCCTCTTCTTCTGCCTCCACTTCCGCCTCCTTCTCCTCCGCTTCGTCGCGCTCTGCCTGTTGTTGTGACGCTCCTGCGTCCTGTTGTGTCTTGGCAGACTTGCTTGGTGGCGCACCACCATCCCCTGCGCATGTGTGTGTGTGTTGACACAAGCAGGCAGGACATGTGACTGTAAGCAGTCGCAGCAACACAAAGGACATGAACACTAGCCCCAAAAGAGGGGCAGAAATAGCATACACACACACACACACACACACACACACACACACACACACACACACACACACACACACACCGCACACACAATGCCAGCAGCACTTCTGGCGGGCAACCGCACCTCGTCGCTGCCTGATCTTTGCCAGGCGAGCCTGTAGCGCCCGTTCCCTGCGCTGCTTCAACTTCTCCCGCTTGCTTCGGCCCCGTTGCGTCTTGCAATTGCATTGCAGTCGCCATGCCATGCGCACAGCGCAGGTGAGTGACAATCCATCCACAAGAACAGCGCATCAATAACCATGCTACTGCCCACTCTACAATCGCAGGCTCGCCAGGTCCTCACCTCTTCCCTCAGCTGCTCCAGCAGTTCCCGCTGCTGCCCGCGCTCAATCTCGTCCTTGGAGAACGCAAAGTACCCTGCACAGCAGCAAACCAACAATACAAGTGCCGTGAGCTGATTGAATGGCTGATGGTGGTGGTGTGACAAGAAGAGAGAAGGAGAGTGGGCGGGGGATGGGGGACGGAGGACTGGGGACGGAGGAATAAGCCTTGCGCACCTGTGCCGAGGTTCCGAATCTCCCCTGCACGAACGGTCTCATAGTGAATGGGTCCACGTGGCTGGTTCCTCTCCTGTGATTTTGTGTGTGTGTGTGTGTGTGTGTGTGTGTGTGTGTGTGTGTGTGTTTGTGTGTGTGTGTGTGTGTGTGTGTGTGTGTGTGTGTGTGTGTGTGTGTGTGTGTGTGTGTGTGCGTGTGTGTGTGCGTGCGTGCGTGCGCGTGTTTGTGTTTGTGAGGGGTTACAGTGCATTTACCAAATGGCCTATGCTCATGCACACTGTGCACATGTGCACACATTGCACGTCGTACCGCCTCCATCTGCTCCTCCCACTGTTGTCTGCGCTCTTCTCGTTGCATGTCTTCGGACACGAGGTCACGCGTGGGTCGGTCTTCTTCATCCAGCGCCTGCAGCGCAGCCAGTTCCTTCTTCGTGCACCTGCAAAGCATGTGTGTGTGTGTGTGTGTGAGCTTGGGAGCACGCGCCGATGCATTTCAAGGACCGAGTCACTGCGGCTTGTTGGTGGGCATGCTTACCTTCTCTTGCGGCCAAAGCTGTCGACATACTCCACAAGCTCATCGCTGTCGGCATCATCATCTCGCTCGCCATCATCAGCATGGTGCCTTTGCCTCTCGTCATCGTCATCCTCGTGATCATTGTATCTATGAGGATGGGGGGGGGGGGCGGATCACCCAAGCAATGAAAATGAAAGCTGGTCAATGAAAATGTGCATGAAAAATCCCGCATAAAGGGTGCGGCGGCACATGGGCATTGACAACACACACCCCACACCACACCACCCAGACAGGG